TCATCGTGTTTGTTGTTTGGGATCCGTCACCAAATCTGCTGTCTTCCTGGCCCTGGCTCTGTTTACTATTTAGGAGAAGGGGGAGAAGATGACACAGAGGAGCTCAGGGCAGGACCCTTCCCATCCATCCTCACAAGCCCGGACAGGAGACAACCCAGACGAAGGAGGGACGGGGTGGAGGGTGTGCAGCCCAGGGCCGTGGCTCCAGAGGAAGAATCCTCGTGTTGGGGGGCTGGTGGGCTGTGGAGGTGCTTGCGCGAGGCCTCAACAGGCAAGTGTGGGGTCACCATTGTGGGAGCATCGACACCCTGAATACTAACCAAAAATATCCCATCACCTATGTACCCAGTTATCTGGGACTCACAGGCTCACCAGCTTCTTCCACAGCCCAGTAAGCTCAACCGAAAAGGATGGGCTCAGAGAGGGTAAGGAACCTGCCTGCTGTCACACAGCCAGAGGCCATGGGGCCGAGACCCCTTTTACCAGTTTCCTGAAAACACAGCCCAGAAACCACTGGAAGCTACCGCTGCTCGCAGTCAGGCAACAAGGGGTGCCTCCCAGGTGCGTGGGAGAAATAGAGCCACTGGCCTCCCCAAATCTCCCTTCCCTGCCACCTCCTGGCCGTCCTGGCCCCCCATCCCCAGCTCTGACCCTTGGCGGGAGGGAGATGTGGAGCGGAACCACCAGCCTGGACGGCCGGGCTCCTGACTCTGTCCTCAGCCCCCCCCCCCCCATGTGGCCTGGGGTGACTGTCTGCTCCTCTCTGAGCCTCAGCCTCTACGTCTGCATAACCGCCAAGCTGGACAAGACAGTCAGGGCCACCCCCTCGCTGACCTTGTCAGAGGCTCGTGAATCCCTCCTAGTTCCGGGCCAGTCCCTGTGCGCAACTTGGCATCTAACCCTTCCCAGCCCCCTGGAGAGGGGCGAGGCCCCCCTTCCCCCGCCCGTCCCACGCCAGGCTTACCTGTCTGTGTCCTGGGGCTCCTCTCCCACGTCCCCCTCGAGCGCAGGGCCCGGACCTGATGGGGCATAGCGAACAGTCCCTGAGCTCACTGCCAGGTACACGGGGCACTTCCCGCGGGCAGGGCACCTGGTGCGCCCCTCAGGGGGGTCCATGCCTGGAGGGCGGACCGAGGGTCCCTCTGGAGACTGCGGGCAGGTGCAGAGCCTCTCCCCGCCCCCAGGCTCACGCTAACCTTTGCTATCTCTGCGAAGCAGCTGCCTGGGAGGGAGGAGCCTCCAGACAGGCCTCTATCTCCTCAGACCCGTAATTATTAACTCCTGTGGCTCCGCAGGCCCCAGAAAATGCTGGGGCCCCACTCCCTGGGCTCCGGGCCTGGGAAGGGGAGCCCTCAAAGCCTGCGGGAGCCGCCTCCCCCTGCCCCAGGCCCCAGGCTTCAACGAGGCCCACAGCCAGGCGGCCGTTCTCTGCTCGCCCGCGTGGGCAATGGGCAGCCTGGCCGGCCCCGGCTCTCTCCCTCGCTGGTGGTGTGGCCTTGGGTACGGCCCCCTGCCTCCCAACCCTAACCCCTGGCCTCCCCGTCCCCTTCAAACCTTCAACCACCAACAGGAAGGGACAGCTCAGTGAAGTGGTCGGGGGCGCCGGCCTGGAGTCAGGCCGGACTCAGCTCCACCCCCAGACTACGAACCTCTGGACACATTAGGCTCTCTGTGCCTCAGTTTCCCCCACTGTACAGCAGAATCTCACCCCCTAGCTGCTCCTGCCCAGATATGCCCTACAACAGCGATGGCGAGCCTATGACACGCGTGTCAGAGGTGGCACGCGAACTCATTTTTTTGGTTGATTTTTCTTTGTTAAATGGCATTTAAATATATAAAATAAATATCAAAAATATAAATCTTGGTTTTACTATGGTGGCAAAGATCAAAAAATTTCTATAGGTGACACGGCACCAGAGTTAAGTTAGGGTTTTTCAAAATGCTGACACGCCGAGCTCAAAAGGTTCGCCATCACTGCCCTACAACCTCCCTTTCCTCACATTAACCCCGCTTCCTCTAGTTTGCACCCTGTCCCACCCCGCTGGCTGATAAATTTCTCTTCTGCTCATGCCCCCTCCTCCAGGAAGCCTTCCTCTGTGGATTGCTTTCTTCCTCTGCGGGCGTGGGGCTCTAGCCCCCAGACACGTGGTGAGCGTCCCATGGTGCTGGGGACACCCCAGGGCGAGCGAGGCTGGCGGACGCTCATCGCCAGCCCTCGGGGCCCCTCCCCTGGCTCACGGCCAGCCTCAGTCCAGCAGGAGGGGCTGTTTGCTTCGCCCTCTCCTTCGTCTGAATTGGAATCCTGGTCCTGCCACGCCCTGGCTGCCTGGCCTTGGGCAAGTCACTTAACTTCCCTGGGACTCAGTTCCCTCATCTATAAAATGGGAACAGTTCTGCCCTGTGACGCGGCGAACACCTCAGAAGGTACGATCTGTGAAGTGGCTGCCACGTTAGAGACCGAGCTTTCCTGTCCCTTCGCCCCTGCTTCCCTCTCTTTCCTGTCAGCCTCCGAGTTCCCGCTGGGAGGGGCTGCCCGGCCCGGCTAGCAGTCACGCCCTGCCCGCCGCCGCCCGCCCCGCGGATAACAGTATCTCCCACTCGGCCTTCAGGCTCCAAGCTCTCAGCCTAATGCAAACCAGATGTGGCCTCCCTTTCCTGGCGGAGAACTTTCCACGGCCGGCTCCCACCCCCTTCCTGTTTTTGCTCCGCACTGATCCCCTTCGAAATTCTCCGGTGCCCCCACCTTCCTCTGCAGGGCGCCCTCGGGGCCCACCTGGAAACAATTAATGGAAAACAGGATGTGTGAAAAGGGGGGGTCTCCCTGTCACCCCCACATGGCAGGAGGGGAAGGGGCTGGTGGCACAGTATGAGAGAGGTGGTCCCTCCCTGCCACGCTCCAGCCTTGGGGGCAGGGGGAAACTGAGTCAGTTGCTTTGGGAAGCGTGTAGAAAGTGGATATGTGGCACAGCTGGGGCAGGTGGGGCGCTGAGCGGGTCTTGTCTGGGGCTGGGACTTCTTAGGACAGCGATGGCGAACCTTTTGAGCTCGGCGTGTCAGCATTTTGAAAAACCCTAACTTCACTCTGGTGCCGTGTCACCTATAGAAATTTTTTGATATTTGCAATAGCAAAACAAAGACTTATATTTTTGATATTTATTTTATATATTTAAATGCCATTTAACAAAGAAAAATCAACCAAAAAAATGAGTCCGCATGTCATAGGTTCGCCATCACTGTCTTAGGAGAATCCCAGGCAGAGAGGCCACACCCCTTCCTGTGGCAGGTGAAGCAGCCTGGAGACTCGTCCCTGTCACTGGTGAGCCGGAGGCTAGAGGCAGCGGCTCTGAAACTGCTGCCAATCACAGCTGCAGCCAAAGTCACCTCGGGGAAGCTCTGGATGCTCTCTCAGAGCCCTTCCCCCCTCCCGCCCCAGGAGCCGAGTCACGAGGGGCGGCTCACAGGCTGCTCAGCCTCCTCCCTGCTCAGCCCGGAGCCAGCGTGCACACCGGCAGGCCCAGCAGCCCTGATCTCCCCGCAGCAGCCCAGATCTCCCCGCGGGGGCCGGGCCTCGGGAGGGGGTCTCGGGCAGTGCATCCCTCAGGGCAGCCAGGGCTGCCCCTCCCTGTGAGGCCTCCACCACTTCCCTGGCGCTGGCGCCCTCCCTCCGCCAGCTGTGAGTGTTTGGACAACTGGATGGAATGTTTGGCGAGGAGAGTGCTGCCTGGGTCCCTGGGCTCAGATTTCAAGAGGGCGGAGGAGAGGATGCGGCTCCAGGGAGAGGGGAAGAGGCTCAACGAGTCAAATGGGGGCTGGAGGCTCCCCTCCCGGCCTGTCCAGCACACTGCCCTCCGGCTCAGCGGGCCCGGGAGGAAGGACAGGACGGAGGGGGAGGCAGTCGAATGGTGTCAGATGGTCGATAGGGCCACCCTGGTGAGGTCAGGCCCCAGGGACGGGCTGGGCTCCAGGAGGGGCCCGGCCCAGAAAGCACTTTGAAAACATTAAGCTCCCACGATAAGAATTGTTCTATGTACCCCCCCTTTTTTTTTTTACAGATTGAGCAACTGGGGTGCAGAGGGGACAGGCATTCACCCCAGGTGGCGGCAGAGCTGGGCTGGGGTGCAGGCTCCTGATCATAAGCTTGCTCTTCTCCCATCCAGACTGTCCCCACTCTGACTCCCAGCCCCAG